ACATATACATATACATACACATATACATACACACACACACACACACACTATCTAATGGTTAGATAGCTTCTACTGCCAGAGCTAATTTATGTAGAACTAGCTCAGGTTTTTCTATACTGTGTTGCAATGTGAAGTGAAGACACACCTCCTGCTTAGATACACCTTACCTATTGAGTTTGTTAAACCAGAAAGACAGAGATACAGGCAGTCTACATGCAGTATGCCACAGACAAGCCATAGCAGTGTCATGGAAGCTTCTTGCCTACAGCACAAATACATCCTGATCTTTCTTTATTTCCTTTCTTTCTTTTCTAAAAATGTACAATTATTTTCAATTCTAACAGAAAAATAGACTGTTGGTCAGTTGGATAGGTCTGCCATAAATCTTTAGGGTGCAAATGTTCTGGAAAATGAGTGTAGGTAGCAGAGTAAATGTACTTTCTCCCAGGTTGGCATCCTGTAAATGGAGGGAGTCTAGGTAAGAGGGGATAGTACCATGAAAAAGATCAGTAAACAGAAGAGGAAAAGCCACCCACTTGTGAACTGCTTCCATTGCCTTATCACTCCCCAGCAGGTGTATGACGCATGGTTTGAACACATTCTAAATACTAGATTTGTGCAATTTATGCTACTTTATAAGTTATACCACCTTTTCCCATCTACTGGCAAGCTAATTTATTGTTCAACTGTAACAAACACTATAATGAAATTGTCCTAGGAACTTTCATGGTAGTTGTAGTAGCACACACCAGGGATGAATCTGGGTCATCATTTTGACTTGTGAAACAAAGCGAGTGGAAATTATAGAGTATAATAAATGCAGAATATCCCACAATGTCATGTTCTGCTGCCACTTTACTAGTACTGCACATTAAGGCTCTCTTCACGTTTGCTCTGCCACAGTAGAACCGTTTCTTAAAAGCAATAAATTCCCTCCCCACTGAAACAATCAATTTTAGGCAATTCTTGTCTGGCTTCCTTTTTTTTGGCTCTCTATGTATAATAGCATGTGATTAAGGTAACCTGGGAAACTAGAGGTAATGATCTATTGTTTTCTATCTTTTCTCATTTCCTATCTCATCTCAGAACCACTAGTATGGTACATAATGTGATTCCTGTTATTGAACCAACAAATACAATAATGTTATAATACACAAACTATTGGGCCAAAAGGTCCTTTCTCCTGGTGTGAGGAAGATATATTTAGTACACCAGGGGATTTAAAACTAACAAATCTATACAACTACCTAGAATTACAATACCAAGAAACCAAGGGAGATGAGGGAAGACATTTTCAGGTTAGCAGCAATCAGTGAAAACTGCAGCCAAGAATGAAATGCTGAAAACATGGGACAAAATTGATATTCTAAAAAGGGGAACAGAACCCAAAAAAATGTTAGGTTGATCATTTTAAACTAAATGTATGCATGACTGAAAATAACAGAATATACTAAAATAAAAACGGGACTAGTGATCCATGAGGTAAGAACTACCCTGAACAATGACTCAAATGAACCTGAAAAAATTCTAAATCTTGCCTGTATCATCATGTTCAGTCAGTGAAAGTATATATTTGGCAGAGGGCTGACAATACTCTCCTGCTTTTTCTGTTCCATGTTTTCTGTTTCATAACTACTTCTAGAAGAATGAGCCCTTCAGGAAAGGACAAAATTCTCTGTATCATGGCTTATCCTGTTAGGGCATGTCTGCACTGCCTCAGTACAGTACCCAAAAATGCAGGCCATATCTGCTCTGTGTACACTACCTCCTAAAACAGAAGTAATGTCATAGCATGAACATTGCACTGGCTGTACTGTTTCTTTTCCTCAGGTGAGTTATGGGTATGTATGTCCCCAACCCCACATTAAGGTGGCTCACTGCAGCTCCTTGCAATACTAAAGAAGTGCTCATGTGCATGTACGTATGTAGATATGAATGCATGTATAGAAAAAGAATAATAGGTGTTTCCACTCTGGAAAGCAGGTGCTGGTACCCTTACTTTACTGGGCAGCATGCCATAGTAATGTCTGCTGTACCCCCATGAACTGTACCCCCACGAACATGAAGGTTAGCAGGCTGAGGGGAATCAGAGAAGCGGAAGAGGAAAT